CCTGGCGGGGGCAGAGGAAGGGGGTGGGGTGTCGTTTTGTTTGGTCTGGCCCGACCAAGCAGCAAGAGTCACAGCAAGAAGTGTTCACAGAAAAGAAGATCCCAGGAGGTTCTGGCAGCATGCGAACGCCTCCCACACACAGAGAGCCACCAGGGGCCTACCTTCCTGGCCAGCTCCTCCTCCTGCATGGTAAGGATGTGCATGAGGCTTTGCACACGCACCTGCAGCAGCTCCATTGTGGTGTGCAGGCCATCCCGGTCCTCCTGCAAGTGCTGCATATGGGAGAGGGAGGGCGAGAGCCACCACCTCTGTAGAACCTCCACACAGGCCCTCATGCAGCAGGCAGCACGCTGCCCCTCGACAGCACTGCCTTCGCTCCTGGGCACTGTGCTCTTCTTCAGGGGGCCACTCCCGTCCCAGGATCTGATCCCTGAGCCCTCCCACCCCACGTCCAGCCCCCATACAGAGGCACCCTGTACTCACTCACTTGCACAGTTTCTAGAAGCTCCTGTCGCTCTGATTCCCAGGTCTGGCTTTGAACCTCAGGAGGGACTTGCTCCCCCACATATCTCCTTAAATTCTCAACCAAGGTCACCTGTGCTTCCAAATCTTCTTGGGTCTTGCTAGGGTTGGGGTCGGAATAAGGCAGCAATCGGTGAGGCACCCTGGAGACCCACCACACCCACCAACCACCAGGTCCCCCTTAAGTCCACCCCCCCTTTACCTCAGCTGCTTCTGCAGCAGCTCAGCCTCCTTCTGGGCCACAGCCAGCTCCTTGGCTTCCCCTGCCCTCCTGGTTTCCAGACTATTCAGAGATTTCTCCAAGCCCTCAGCTTTGTTGGCCAAACTAGAAAGAGCCTCCTGATGAGCCTGCGTCAAAGAGGAGAGCTGTGGAGAGAAGAGAGGGCACAGCAGGAGCCAGCTCACTACATCTGGACTTGGCAAATCCGCTCCTGCTCAGGCCCTGTCCCTTCACCCCTACCTTCTGTGACCTTAGACAACAACCCAGCAAATCACCCAACTGCATATGGCAAAATGGAGACAGTCCTCATTGTCGTCCATCTACCTTCCAATCCATCAGCAGTTCCTGCCAGTCTCCCCCCTTCACTTCTGTCTCCAACGCCACTAACCTTAGCAAGCCACCCTCATCTCTGGCTTGTACAACAGCAACACACTCCTGACCAGTCTTTGAAAGCTTTTGGTGGCTTGGAATGCCTGGGTAGCTCAGTCAGTTAAGCAGCTGACTTAAGTTCAAGTCATTATCTCATGGTTCCTGGGTTCGAGCCCTATGTCCAGCTTGGTGCTGAGAGCCTGGAGCCTGCTTCAGATTTTGTCTCCTTTTCTCTGCCTCTCCCCTACTCACGCTCTGTCTGTCTCTCTCTCTCAAAAATAAACATAAAAAACAAAAAAGCCTTCAGCGGCTTATCATGGCACAGACAACAAAACCCATCTTCTGCCCTCAGCCTGTGAAGCCTGACCTATCATGGCCTCTGCCCACTTCTCTGAGCTCAGCTTCTACCGCTCTCCACTGCCCACTCTGCTCCAGCCACAATGCCCTCCCTTCCGCACTAACAAACCAGCTCTTTCCCACAGCGGAGTCTGCCTGAGGCTTGGCTTCCCCCAACTCTTCAGACCTCGGGCGATGTCACCTGCTCAGAAGGCCTCCCTAGGCCCCCTACCACCCGCTCCATCCTACCACCTATTCATCATCTGGAATGATCTTGCTTCCACACAGCTCTCTGCCACACCCTGTTGGAAAGGCAGTTCTAGGAAGGGAGGACTCTGCCCCCTCCAGCCCTATGTCCATACCATGAAGTGATCATTTTGGACTTAAATCACAAAGCTGGTCTTCTTATTTTATTTATTTTTAAGTACACTCTACACTGGACCTAGGGTTTAAAGTCACAACCCCAAGATCAAGAGTCGCATGCTCTACCAAATGAGCCAGCCAGGTGCCCCATAAAACTGGTCTTTTTAGACATAAAATACAAATCTGATCATGTCATTTCCCTATTGAAAACTTTTCAACAGTTGCGCATTGCTCTCAAGGTAAAGTACAAAGTTCTGAACAGGCCCCGAGGCCTCACTGTCCACACACCATCCAGGGCCTCTCTTATCTCCAGCACTCAAGCCCCTCTCGCCTCCTCATATCCCCCATGCTACCAATGTTGCCCAGCTCCCATCACCTCCCCATGTGCCAGCTAACCAGCCAACTCCTATTTAGCACAAATGACAATTTCTTATCATGAAGCATTCTTCATAAATCTAAAAGCCATTTATATTTTTCTTTGAACTATCTCCTTTGTCCATTTTCTGGCTAGATTGCTACCCTTCCCTTGTCAATTTCTAGGCATATGAGGGACATTAGCCTTTTCCTGTGATACGAACTGTATATAATCTTTAATTTTGTCATTTCTAAATTTAATATTACAAAGCCAATGTATCAGTCTTTTAATGGCTCTGGATTTGGATTCATAGGTAGAAAAGCCTTCCCCAATCTGAGGTTATGAAGGAATTCACCCAGGGGCGCCTGGCTGGCTTAGTAGGTAGACCATGTGACTCTTAGTCTTGGGGTTATAAATTCAAGCCCCATGATGGGTGTAGAGATTATTTAAAAAAATAAAATCTTAAAAAAAAATGGATGACAATAAATTATGTTTAAAAAAAATGAGATTCACCCATGGTTTCATTTCTTAGCATGTCTACTGGTTAGGGTGGTCTTCCCTAACCCCCCAGACTATATTAGGGCTCCCTTGTCCTTCTCCTGCATGGCATTTCTCCCAGTTGCAAAGAATGAATTAGGATTGAATTAGGTGTTGAATGTGCATGTCCCCCACTAGGCTGTCAGCCTCACCCACAAGGACTCAGGCTAATTTGCCCTCCCCAGAGTCCCAGCTCCTATCTCAGAGATGGCAAAGAGTAAACACTGAGCAAGGCTTGCTGACTGAATCATCTCCCCTCCCCAGTCCACCTTAAGACCCCTCTCCCACCCTCCTCACCACCCCCACAATGCTCCCACACGAAGTGGTTACCTGGAGTGAAGTAGAAAGACAAACTACCTCCTAGTGGAAGGGGAAGGAGGGCTTCAGGTGGTGGAGGTCACCTGAGTCTTGGGGGGAAAAGTGAAATCTGGATAAAGACCAAAACAGCCAAATCCCTCTTTCCAGATCATCTGCTCTCTCGCCCTCACCGAACATCTCATCACTCCACTGCTCACAGGGCCTGATCTGCGAAAACTGCTGTTTGCTGGGAAGCTTTTGCCCCATTCACCATTGTGAAGCTGAACTCTTCTCATCCCCACATTCACCTGCTCTTGGTGCAGCCTCTTAACCTCCTCCAGGTCCCGCTGGCTCCCCTCTTCCAGGTTCTTCCGGACAACCTCAGCCCCAGCCAAGGCAGCACGCAGGCCCTCAGCCTCAGCTCGGCCAGCCTTCTCCGCCCGAGCCAGAGCCTCCAGCTCCATGGCCTGGGCCTCCAGCCTCATCTTCTGCTGCAATGAAGTCTCCCGCAGGACCTGGACCTCCTCCTCAAGTCGCCGCAGCTCTCGCAGCTGCCGAGAGATCAGCTCAGCCTGCTGGCTCAAGGCCTGTGACCCCTCTAGCTCCACAGACCTTCAAAGACAGGTTAGCACAAGTGAGACCTGTCTCTGGTGCTGGGAGGGTGGCCAAGGGGACAAACGGAGACAGAAGAGGGTCCCTCTGCCCTGTGTGTGGAGATGAGGGGGATGAACTTGGGCCATGGGGATATCTGCACTTCCATTACTGTTGTCATTTATCATGCCCCTACTAAGCAGATTAGGTCCACTATCAGGGCTCACAGGACCTAAAGGCTAGCTGAGATCATGGAATATGACCTCTGTTGAGAGAGCTATGTACAGGCAGATGCATTAAACATCAAATGCACACATCATCAGGCCACACATTTTGAAATGGAGAGGCTGGAAGACACCCAGAGATTTCTGAATTCTGATTTAAGGGCAAGGAAAAGTTTGAGGAAGTTTCAGAGGAAGAGAGGTCATGGCTTCCAGTATCAAGAGTGAGACCAGGCATTAGTTAAAAGCATTTATTGAGGGGCGCCTGGGTGGCGCAGTCGGTTAAGCGTCCGACTTCAGCCAGGTCACGATCTCGCGGTCGGTGAGTTCGAGCCCCGCATCAGGCTCTGGGCTGATGGCTCAGAGCCTGGAGCCTGTTTCCGATTCTCTGTCTCCCTCTCTCTCTGACCCTCCCCCATTCATGCTCTGTCTCTCCCTGTCCCAAAAATAAATAAACGTTGAAAAAAAAAATTTTAAAAGCATTTATTGAGCGTTAGATATACCATATGAGGAGTTGATAGCACATCGATAAATTACATAGTCTACTGGTATCTTGTAAAGTTTAAACCAGCTTATGTTAACATGGCTCTTGATGCAACTCCTTCACTGAGGCCCAGAACCACAGGATTTTACTTTCAAAATGACGGGGATCGGGGCACCTGAGTGGTTCAGTCGGTTGAGTGTCCGACTGCAGCTCAGGTCATGATCTCATGGTTTGTGGATTCAAGCCCCATGTTGGGCTTTGCACTGACAACACAGAGTCTGCTTTGGATTTTCTGTCTCCCTCTCTCTCTGCCCCTCTCTAGCTTGCACACACATTCCTCTCTCTCTCTCAAAAATCAATAAACATTAAAAACAAATAAACAAACAAACAAACTGGCAGGGATCTATAGCCTAGAGACATTAAGTGACTGGCCAAAGGACCCTAGTTGGTAGCCAAACTAGCAGCAGTCTCTGTCTCCTGACCCCCACTCCAGTGTTCCTCTTTTGTCATCATGCTCCTTCCTCTTGGACAGGGTCCAAGGTGGACCCACCTGCAATCCCACTCCAGAGCAAAATGGCAGAATGACATTCCAGTACATTTGGGAAAAGACACACATGAAACATCAAGAACAAGAATCAGAATTTTTACAGACATAACATCGACAAATAGCATGTCCGGCTCTAATGGCAAGCACTCCATCAGAATAAATGCATACTACCATAGTACAGTCTATCTATACTCCTACTTTGCACTTCTTTGTCTTGCCTCATATTATGCTCATTACCTACCGTCGGTTGTTGGTCAATCTACCTCTTCCCTTTGGATTTTTAGTTCATTGATATCAGTATCTCATTCATTTTTGCTATCCCCATCCAGCACATTGCGTTGTTATTTATGCATTATAAGCTCCAGTAACTGCTTATACAAAAATGCACAAATTATGGAACTAAGGGCTGCAACAGGGTAAGGAATCTATTTCAGTGAAGGAGGGTCAGCAGAGGGGCGCCTGGGTGGCTTAGGCGGTTGAACATCCAACTTTGGCTCAGGTTCATGAGCTGGAGCCCCACGTTGGGTTCTGTGCTGACCTCTCAGAGCCTGGAGCCTGCTTCGGATTCTGTCTCCCTCTCTCTCTGCCCCTCCCCCACTTGTGCTCTCTCTCTCTCTCTCTCTCTCTC